AGCTGTTATCTCCATTGAGATAAGACGCTAATGGGAGCCGCAGCTGTTATCTCCATTGAGATAAGACGCTAAGTGTTCGGCAGAGCAGCGCGGGAGGAGGCTTTTTTTCTGTTAGAGTTAGTATGAAAATAATGTTTAAGTTGGAAAAATGTTTATAGAAACTTATTAAAAAAACACACGATGTGTTTTTTATAAGCAAACTTTAAAGAAGGTCTCTTCGAACAGAGCCGCGGTTCGTATCTCCATTGAGATAAGACGCTAATGGGAGCCGCGGTTCGTATCTCCATCGAGATAAGACGCTAATGGGAGCCGCAGCTCTTATCTCCAGCGAGATAAGACGCTAATGGGAGGCGCAGCTCTTATCTCCATCGAGATAAGACGCTAATGGTAGGCGCAGTTCTAAATCTCCATTGAGATAAGACGTTAATGGGAGCCGAAGCTATTATCTCCATTGAGATAAGACGCTCGTATATTAACCTGGCGACAGAAGCTATAAATCACATCCAGGGTTTGACGGAAAATGCGTTAAAATCTTTCTCGCAGACTCAAATTTTCCCTCCAAATCCCGCAATTTCGTGACATAAACAACAAAATAAATAAATATTTACAGGTTTTGGAGCTCAGTTCAACGCTCATGATGAGTTTTCGGTACAACAATCAACGAAGCTCGACTTGGCACTACACAATCCTGAAATGATTTCCTGAACTTCTCGATTTTTCTTATAGTATTTAAAAACTACACGCACAAAAACCATGGCAATTTGGGCAGTTATTTACGTTCATATATTTTTAATTAAATTAATTGGAGAACTTTAATTAATACAGAAATTATTTAATTAATTCAATGCAGAACGAAAAATGAAAGACATAAGAAAAGGTTACGGGAAGCGTCTGCTCCGCTCACATATATTTGTAATTCAATTAAAACATATATCAAATGAAAAATAAGCCGCATTGCAATAAAATAAGATGCAAAACTACATCATTAATATAACGACATATTCGCATTCAGAAAATAAAGAAAACTTCGTCCAAATGCGGGTCATTCTATCCAGTCTGACGCGGATCTGTAACTTAAATGTACATATGTAAATTTTTTCGATTTAATTCATATATTCGTTGTACGATTTTACAATAAAATATCAAAAGGGAATTAATATTTGTTAGGTGGACAAGTCATTTTGGTTACGCTCCAAGTTTCTTCTACGATTAATTAAATCTAAAATAATTAATAAAGAAAATAAAATTAATTAACTAAAACAACATAGATCTCGCAACGAGAAACCTTCCAGCCTCATCACTGATTATAATCAGTTGAGCGTTAACGCACTGAAACATTTCGTAGGAAAAAATGCGTTTTCTGGAACTTATCAAAGATTTTCGAAGCTTTCACAATTAGCTTTCACAATTAGCAATCTCGAGATCAGCGATGGCTTTCCTTGAATAAAAATTTATGGGATGGCGTCGTCAGTTCCAGACTTTGTGGCCAAATCGTGTCTACAATTGTGAAGCATTACTTCTACCTATAGTATATACGTATCACGGCATCACGTATATTATTCAGCATATCATATAAACGTGTAGCATCTTCACAAAATATTATGTAATAAAAATTTTAATTTGAAAACGGGCAAGACGCCTATGTACATCCTAATAAATAATAAGTAAGTTGGTAAGAGAATGATTTTTCTAGCACGAACAACAACACAACTGTAGGCTACACTCACTTCTATTATATATTCTTTCTATTAAATAGTCTCATTTCTATTAGACACTAGCTCTTACACAATACACTTTACAGGGCATTTTTAGTCATAACATTCGACGATTAAACACAATGTGAAGCAGAACAATATTAAAATTCATCCCTCATTGTAACTACACAACTGTAAATTAACATGGTAATGAAATTTTCGAATAAATAAATTATCTTACATATTAATTAGCAATAAATATGTAAATTATCTTTTAAAATAATTTACACAACATATAGAGCACAGAATGAATATTCTACTTAAATTTGGACACTTTATCTAAACTTTATTTACAAATTCTAATGAGACACATATCAGATGATAATGTGTCCTATCCATTGCGATTGCTGTAAAAAAAATTACTCCGTAAATATATGTATTGTAACATAATATACAAAAATGAACCGACGATTACACCGCACACGAACCAATTACACGAAGATGAACCTACGAACTCACGGCACACGAGCCAATTACACGAAGATGAACCATTGAACAAACGGCACACGAACCAATTACACGAAGCTCGAGGTTGGTTCTGCACGCCAATGTCCAGAAAGAACCGTGGTTCACATGACAGATCTCATGCATTTATTAATGCAAATTTTTATATCTCGTGACCGAGCGACCTGAAAACTTCACGCAGCAAAGCCTCTGTATCTTCATACAACTTTGTGTGTTATTACAAAGTTTTATGTGTGTTAACGCTGTTTGTTATTGCAATGTTTTATGTGTATGTTAACGCTGTGTGTTATTACAAAGTTTTATATGTGTGCAAATCTTTGTATTATTAAAAAGTTTTCTTATATGTGTGTTAACTCAGTGTGTTATTACTCTAAAAATTACTCTAAATTATAGGATTAAAAATTGCAATTTAAGAAAATTATTAAAAATTTAAATACTGAGCAATACTATACAAATGTTAGAAGAGCTGAATAACGTGCGCTTGTATTTCAATAACTCTACATTTGGCTGCATATGACATCCATTGAGCGTTGTCTCTTCTAGCACGAATTCGTAAGAATATATACACGAATATTTATACTCACTCGTAACTCATGCCCAGATTCGTAACTGAAATACCGTAAAATTTTATTATTTAAGTTCTTTGTGAAATGATTGTTCGACTTTGCCAACTTTTAAACTAGTTGCATTTAAAATAGCGGCCGCGTGACGGTGAGTCATACATATACAAACGGCATACGAACCAATTACACGAAGATGAACCAACTAACACACGACACACGAACCAATTACACGAAGATGAACCAACGTACAAACGGCACACGAACCAATTACACGAAGATGTACCAACGAACACACGACACACGAACTAATTACACGAAGATGAACCGACGAACTCACGGCACACGAACCAATTACACGAATGAACCAACTAACTCACGGCACACGAACCAATTACACGAAGATGAACCATTGAACTCACGGCACACGAACCAATTACACGAAGATGAACCAACGAACTCAGGGCACACGAGCCAATTACACGAAGATGAACCGACGAACTCACGGCACACGAACCAATTACACGAAGCTCGAGGTTGGTTCTGCACGCCAATGTCCAGAAAGAACCGTGGTTCACATGACAGATCTCATGCATATTTTAATGCAAATTTTGATATATCGTGACCGAGCGACCTAAGAACTTCACACAGCAAAGTCTCTGTATCTTCATACAACTCTGTGTGTTATTACAAAGTTTTATATGTGTGTTAACGCTGTGTGTTATTACAAAGTTTTATGTGTATGTTAACTCTGTAACTAAGTGTGTTATTACTCCAAAAATTACTCTAAATTATAAGATTAAAAATTGTAATTTAAGAAAATTATTAAAAAATTAAAGACCGAACAATACTATATAAATGTTAGAATAGCTGAATGACATGCGTGCACTTTATTTCAATAACTCTACATTTGGCTGCATATGACTTTCATTCAGCGCTGTCTCTTCTAGAACGAATTCGTAAGAATATATATATATATATACACACGAATATTTATTCTCGCTCGTAACTCTAGCGCAGATTCGTAACCGAAATACCGTAAAATTTAATTATTTAAGATGTTTGTGAAATGATTGTTCGACTTTGCCAACTTTTAAACTAGTTGCATTTAAAATAGCGGCCGCGTGACGGTGAGTCATACATGCCGGTGGTGGTGGGGGGAGAGGGGCATGACCCCCACAGGGGGTGAGGGAGAGGCTGTCTCTTATACACATCTAGATGTGTATAAGAGACAGACGCCATACTATCTTCACTCANAAGAGGGACGTCCATCAAGAGGAACGTCCATCAAGAGGAGTGTCCATCAAGAGGAGCGTTCCTAAGAGGGACATCCATCAAGAGGGACGTCCATCAAGAGGAACGTCCATCAAGAGGAGTGTCCATCAAGAGGAGCGTTCCTAAGAGGGACATCCATCAAGAGGGACGTCCATCAAGAGGAACGTCCATCAAGAGGAGTGTCCATCAAGAGGAGCGTTCCTAAGAGGGACATCCATCAAGAGGGACGTCCATCAAGAGGAACGTCCATCAAGAGGAGTGTCCATCAAGAGGAGCGTTCCTAAGAGGGACATCCATCAAGAGGGACGTCCATCAAGAGGAACGTCCATCAAGAGGAGTGTCCATCAAGAGGAGCGTTCCTAAGAGGGACATCCATCAAGAGGGACGTCCATCAAGAGGAACGTCCATCAAGAGGAGTGTCCATCAAGAGGAGCGTTCCTAAGAGGGACATCCATCAAGAGGGACGTCCATCAAGAGGAACGTCCATCAAGAGGAGTGTCCATCAAGAGGAGCGTTCCTAAGAGGGACATCCATCAAGAGGGACGTCCATCAAGAGGAACGTCCATCAAGAGGAGTGTCCATCAAGAGGAGCGTTCCTAAGAGGGACATCCATCAAGAGGGACGTCCATCAAGAGGAACGTCCATCAAGAGGAGTGTCCATCAAGAGGAGCGTTCCTAAGAGGGACATCCATCAAGAGGGACGTCCATCAAGAGGAGCGTCTATCAAGAGGAGTGTCCATCAAGAGGAGTGTCCATCAAGAGGAGCGTTCCTAAGAGGGACATCCATCAAGAGGGACGTCCATCAAGAGGAGCGTCCATCAAGAGGAGCGTTCCTAAGAGGGGCATCCATCAAGAGGGACGTCCATCAAGAGGAGCGTCCATCAAGAGGAGCGTCCATCAAGAGGAGCGTCCATCAAGAGGAGCGTTCCTAAGAGGGACATCCATCATGAGGAGCGTCCATCAAGAGGAGCGTCCATCAAGAGGAGCGTCCATCAAGAGGAGCGTCCATCAAGAGGAGTGTCCATCAAGAGGAGTGTCCATCAAGAGGGTTGTCCATCAAAAGGGGCGTCCATCAAGAGGAGCGTCCATCAAGGGGAGCGTCCATCAAGAGGAGCGTCCATCAAGAGGAGTGTCCATCAAGAGGAGTGTTCATCAAGGAGTGTCAATCAAGAGGGACGTGCATCAAGAGGAGCGTCCATCAAGAAGGGCGTCCTTCAAGAAGAGCTTCCATCAAGAGGAGCGTCCATCAAGAGGAGTGTCAATCAAGAGGGACATGCATCAAGAGGAGCGTCCATCAAGAAGGGCGTCCATCAAGAGGAGCGTCCATCAAGAAGGGCGTCCTTCAAGAAGAGCTTCCATCAAGAGGAGCGTCCATGAAGAGGAGCGTCCATCAAGAGGAGCGTCCATCAAGAGGAGCGTCCAGCAAGAGGAGTGTCCATCAAGAGGAGTGTCAATCAAGAGGGACGTGCATCAAGAGGAGCGTCCATCAAGAAAGGCGTCCATCAAGAGGAGCGTCCATCGAGAAGGGCGTCCTTCAAGAAGAGCTTCCATCAAGAGGAGCGTCCATGAAGAGGAGCGTCCATCAAGAGGATCGTCCATCAAGAGGATCGTCCATCAAGAGGAGCGCCCATCAAGAGGAGCGTCCATCAAGAGGAGCGTCCATGAAGAGGAGCGTCCATCAAGAGGAGCGTCCATCAAGATAAGTATCCATCAAGAGGATCGTCCATCAAGAGGAGCATACATCAAGAGATGGGCGTCCATCAAGAAGATCGTCCATCAAGAGGAGCGTCCATCAAGAGGATCGTCCATCAATAAATGGGCGTCCATCAAGAGGATCGTCCATCAAGAAATGGGCGTCCATAAAGAGGAGCGTCCATCAAGAGGATCGTCCATCAAGAAATGGGCGTTCATCAAGAGGATCGTCCATCAAGAGGAGCGTCCATCAACTCCAAGAGGCGCCGAAGGCCTCCACGAAGTGCTGTAGTTTCTCTCCTGCACGCACTCGAGGCACGAACAACAATTTTTCCAACAAATGTCGTGTCGTTGTTTTCAGCGCGTAAACACGCACGCCAATCTTCAGAACAAAAAGTTTCAACTAGTTTCTGCCAGTTTCAGCCAGTTTCTGCCAGTTTCTGCCTGTTTTTATCTAGTTTCATCTAGTTTCGTCAAGAAGAGACAAGCGCAAACGTTTTAATCTTCTTGCACCTGCTTGGGAAAATGCATCGTTAAATGCATCAAACTAATCTTGGAAACATACTAATGGTGCAATACAAAACAAAACCTTGATAGCTTAACATTAACATAGCTTTCTCGCATTGACTTTTAATTCAGCAAGCTCGTACGATTTACAGTTAAACACGAAAATGTTTTTTATTTCATTTACATGCATTCGTCTTGTCACTATAGCAGGTTAACGCGGCGCTGCCAAGTAGGTTATAAATGCGTTATAAGTATAACCGTTTAGCCCAGATTAACCTAAAGACGCTCGCTTACAAAACTGTTTTATTATGAGATGCTTCGAGCTGTACTAATGGTAGCATAGATACCACTATAAAGCACGGTCTGAATAATTTTTTTACGCAGGGTCTTAAAGTTACTAAATTTTTAAGTGTGATCTTTATTTCTAACTTTTTTAATATATATGACAAATATATTCTAATTATGGTATAATAAATACTTTAAATTATAATTATTTAATTTTTTGACGTACATTTGGTGGCGGCAAATTCAATTTATCTTCAAGTGTCGAAATAATATATATGATGGTATCCGTGAGACCAGATTTGGACGCCAACTCTTCATAAATTTGTTAACTATAGCATGGAATTTTATTTGGATTATATGTAATTGCATCGTACAACAATTTCATAAAAAATCAAATTTGGAGCATCCATCAAAGAGAGCGCCCGTCAAGAGTGTTCCCTCCTCCGAACAATTATGTAATTCAAATTCATTTTATTTCCTTACAATTATTTCAATATTTAGTCAAAGAAATTAATAAGGCAAATGTAGCAGCAATGGAAGAGAGCGGCGGCCCCAGACAGCGAGACGGCCCTAGCGAGGCCTGCGTCGCCCCCCGCCCCAGACGTCGGGCCTAGCGAGGCCTGCGTCGCCCCCCGCCCCAGACGGACGTCGGGCCAACACCGCGGTGCGTTGGCACGCGTTTGCCAGTTTTTGTGTTAGTCTCGTACGTTGTTTTTTGTTTATATATAGTATAGTTCTTGTATTTACCTCGTATGTTTGTATTTAATTCAAACGAATCACTTCAATGAAGATACAGACACCTTCGTTTTTATAATACTCGGAACAAATTACTTGATTTAATTAATTGATTATAGTTCACAAACTCCACTTACAAAAAACAAAACTCCACTTTACGGTCATTACTTTGAAGAAAACTTTTGAAAATTTACAACCGTATTTTTTCCCGTATTGTCAAGTTGTGCGTTAGTCTCGATCAGTGACTTGTTGTTATTCGTCATCGACGTTTTTTATAAGCTGAATTCATAGTGATAACTTTTATTTTTAATTTGTTTTAAAGTACCAATTACAAGTAACAATTCTACTTATCATGTCCCGCCACCACATGATGTATCACATCGAAATACCAGAAGAAACATATTAAGTCTCGTGATATTATCGAGATATATTTTTTCAAACGTGGTCCCCGTTTGTCAAAAATCTCGAGGGGCCAATAATTCAAATAAATTTGTTGACGCGATGGCTTGTGCCTATAGGCGCTCATAAATAACGTGCGCGTCCGTCGCTTCTAATTAGCAGATCAAACAAATTATTTGGAATATTTTTTGAGGTGAAGTAAAAAAATCTGAACAGATTATTCCGAATACAATTATTGTACATATTTTTAGCAATTCATACATTGGCTCGACATCCTGACGCGGAAGAAAACTATTTGTTCATATTTGTACGTAACTATATATAATTTCCTATATTCATAACGTTTAGCATTATAACATCGCGGTTCCGCTTTTTCTTATTATTTTTTCATTACATTCTGGTACGTATAATTAACTTCGCATCGAAAAATTTTCACTTTTCATGAAATTTCCTCTCTACCTTAAAAATATGCATTCATTACTTTTATCCACATTTAATCTCGAACTGAACTAAGGCAATCAATTTATTGACCTCATTAGTTTCGTGACGTTATTTACGTGTTCTTACGTAAAATGAAGTGTCTTGCGCTCACCATGTGACACTTGGCATAGCACCATCTGTGCTACGTCTCGCCGCACCACCTGCCAAACCTGCTGCTGCTCCTGCCAACTGCATGTGCGTGTGCCATGCGCGATCTGTGACACACTTGTACACTTCTGCACCATCTGCGGCAGATGGTACATAATTTTGTCCTGCTTCAGGCAAATGGTACAACATCTTGACATGTTTCAGGCAAATAATGAAACATGTCATGTTTCAGGCAAATGGTACAACGTCTTGACATGTTTCAGGCAAATAATAAAACATGTCATGTTTCAGGCAAATGGTACAAGATTTTGTCACGTTTCAAGAAAATGTTACAACATCTTGTCACGTTTCAGGCAAATGGTATAACATTTTGGCCAGTTTCATGCTAATGTTAGGCTACAATATTTTGTCTATTTTCAGGCAAATAATGCACAATTTTGTGTGTCGTTACAACCATGCTCTGCAATATTTTGTGTCATCTTCGACAGATGGTACAACATTTTGTCCCGTTTAAGGCGTATGGTATATTTTGTACCATTCTTAGCAAGTGGTACAACATTTTTAGCCCCTTACACAGATACAGTTCAGCTTTATAAGTTCCAGAACCTGAAGCATCATTGGCAGAGTGTAGAATATTATAACTACTCCAGCATGTGCATAGTCGGGACTCTGAAACTGAGTAGCATCAGTTGGTCTATATTATACTTTACTAGTCGTGTGGTCTAGTAGTAATTCAGCATCACAAATAGATTGTTAATACTAATCGATTTAGGCTAAAAGCAAATTAAGGTAAAATTTAATTTGTCTTAAATTTTAATGCTTCAATACTTGCACAATGCATAATTTTTAAGTAAAACTACACTATGTTTAATTTTACATGGAAAAAGCTACGTTTTTGCAGCTCCTTCAAATATAATTCAACTAAGTATTAAACTTTAATTTTAATTGTATTATAATATTACATTATAATTGTATGATATATAAGTAACATTTAATCACAATTTTTTTGATAACGTGCAGTTTGAAACAAGTTTAACTCAAAAAACAATGACAAAAAAATAATATGACTCAGTGCTCACTGCAGTGAGTGACAGAGAACGCATTTTCTCGTCAACGAAAACGTGAAGTCACGGACAGACAGACGGACAGGCGGACGGACAGACTGACAGACGGACATGATTGGCACAATAGCGTTTTTTCCATAAATGAGAAAATGCGCAAAAAACATCTTCATGGAGAGAACATCCCTGGAAGGATGAATGTCTGCAATGGATTTATTCCTGAGGCAAAACACTTGTTAAAAAGATAAAAAATTGATGAAAAATGATAAAAGAGAAGGGATAAAAGAAGGAAAAAAGGGAAAGGATAAAATGATGAGTAAAGTAAATGGTAATTTCAAGCATAAAATAAAGGATAAAGAAAAGGACAAAGAAAAGATAAAGAATAGGATAAAAAATATAACTCAGTACTCACTGCAGTGAGTGATAGAGAGCGCATTTTCTCGTCGACGAAAACGTGAAGTCACGGACGGACAGACAGACGGACAGACAGACGGACGGACAGACGGACGGACAGACGGACGGACAGACGGACATGGCGAGCACAATAGTGTATTTTTTCATAAATGAGAAAATGCGATAAAAAGGTAAAGAACATTATAAAAAAAGGACAAAGGAAAGTTAAAGAAAAGGATAAAGAAAAGATAAAGAAAAGGATAAAGTAAAGGATAAAGTAAAGGATAATTATAGCATAGAATGAACTATGAAGAATAGAGTCAGACAAAAGTTATCACCCGTAGGCGCTCGTCATGTCTGCAGAACACGCGTTTTGGGACCTCGCAGTCGTAAACGCACTCATGTAAATTGTGAGTGCAAAGCCCCAGCTGCCAGGTGGTGATGTGTCAACGGCCGTGTGAACACATGAAAATGTTTTACGGTCCTAAGGATGGATAGAAGTTTCAGGCTCAAACTTCTATTCGAGCCAAAAATTTTATGGTCTCATATTATATGCCTCTAAAGAAAATATTTTCTTATCATCAAGGATTGTTTTCGTTCGTACATTGTTTCGTTTGATAAACGTTCAATCCTCTGTACGTTATGAAGGCGTTTGGCAGTTAGCACCACACGGTAAAGAGTCTCAGATGGTGGCGGGCAGCACACGGTAGAGTCTCGATGGTGACGGACAGCACACGGTAGAGTCTCAGATGGTGACGGGCAGCACACGGTAGAGTCTCAGATGGAGGCGGGCAGCACAAGCACACGGTAAAGAGTCTCAGATGGAGGCGGGCAGCACACGGAAAAAGAGTCTCAGATGGCGGCGGGCAGCACACGGAAGAAGAGTCTCAGATGGCGGCGGGCAGCACACGGAAAAAGAGTCTCAGATGGAAGCGGGCAGCACACGGTAAAGAGTCTCAAATAGAAGCGGGCAGCACACGGCACGGTAAAGAGTCTGAGATGGCGGCGGGCAACACACGGTAAAGAGTCTCAGATGGTGGCGGCAGAACACGGTAAATAGCCTCAGATGGTGGCGGGCAGAACACGGTAAAGAGTCTCAGATGGAGGCGAGCAGCACACGGTAAAGAGTCTCAGATGGAGGCGGGCAGCACACGGTAAAGAGTCTCAGATGGTGGCGGGCAGCACACGGTATAAAGAGTCTTAGCTGGTGGCGGGCAACACACGGTAAAGAGTCTCAGATGGATTGAAATAGCCTACGGAGACTCGCAGTCTTGCGCCGAGGCTTTCACGCAAATTGCTGGGCTGATCGATAGACGTAAGCAGA